GACAGCTGGAGGGTTTGATGTAATCCACCTGCCATCTCATGGCCAATGCTTTGGCTCTTGCTGTTTGTTCTAAATGTTATGGTAACTTCTGTGTGTGTGTGTGTGTGTGTGTGTGTGTGTGTGTGTTCCAGAGAACAAAGAGTATACTCCTGGCTTGTTCATACCCAACTACTTAGCAATTTCCCAAAGGGTATGTACCCCTTTGTGCCCAGTCTTTTTGAAAAATATATTTTTTTTATTGATTTAAGAGGGGAAGGGAGCTAGAGAAAAAGCAAAACAAAACAAAACACACACACACATCAATGATGAGAGAGAATCATTGATTGGTTGCCTTCTGCAAGCACCTTACTGAGAATCCAGATTGCAACTCTGGCATGTGCCCCAACCAGGAACCGAACCATGACTCCCCTGTTCATAGGTCAACGCTCAGCCACTGAGCCATGCCAGTCTTTTTATATAACCAATGGGGTAGCCCTTGAAGGTCACTGTTTTTTTTGTTTTGTTTTGTTGTTTTTCTTTTTTTTTCTTTCTTTTTTCTTTTTTTCCTGTCTTTTGGACCTGAGCTAACTGGTCCATCTTCTGATTTCCCTGAGGTTGACTCAATACTGGGCCAGTACATGGTACACAAAGACCTTGATGCCTTTTGTCTTTTCCCAGATCTCACTCCACATTTTAGGTTTCTAAAGTGGGCACTATTGAACTTCCCAGCTGTCCTTTGTCCACTGCCCCATCAACAAAGTAAGGTTTCTATAGACAGCCCGATTGTCAGTTACCAAAGTGACAGGGCTTGGTTTATGTATCAGTATCATCCAAGCGGCTCTCAGTTCAGCCCATTGACTGCTTTGTTGGCTTTCTCTATCCAGGCATATAGTGTTTGTATTTGGCTGTATTGTTACTATGGTCCAATGGTGTAGATTGCCCTTAGCAAACCAATTAGTGTACCATGCAGTCATGGGGACTGGAACTTGACCTTTCTTAATATGTGTCCATACACCCAGGTCAGTGTTTTCAGGCACTTGGCTAATATATGTGACTGGGCCCATGAGGCCATGCAGCTCAGTAGTATATGCTAGTTGATATAGTACATTGTTGCTGCAAATATGCATACTACTTATGTAGGGTAGTGAGCTGAGCCACTCCCAGTTGGGGTATGGAAAATTCCTGGATTTATCTAGCAATGGAGTACTGTGTCTTTAGCATCACTGCAGGGCTTTTGTAATAATCTTTACATGCTGTAGACCAAGGTACACTGCCAAGCCTTGTCTTTCCTTAGGACTATACCTCTCTTCCTAATTGGGACCAGAAACCTAGGGGCACCTTCCTCCCATCTTGCTTTTGCCAGAAGCCCATCCCAAAGCCCTTTGGATAAATAGAAACATTTAATTTACAGGGGTCAGTTGAATTTATAACTCCACCCCTAATTTTTGTGTTTGTTTACTGCCACCTTTGCACTGGTAAAGGCATCAGTGTGCTCTTGTCTGCAATCCCACATTGTTCATTTCTTTGCTAATCTTTGTAAGGAATGTAAGAGCTGAGCTAGATGGGGGAATAAAAGGCATCAATATCCAAGTAATTAAAAAAAAATGTTTGCAATTGTTTTACTGTTTCTGGCATAGAATAATTTTGAATATCTTATCCAGCACAGCAGTGGGAATAACTTCTGTCTTACTAGACAAGACAACCCTCCCAATGACAGAGGACCTGGACCATTGCACTTTGTTGCAATTTCTGGCCCTCCTCTATTTCTGGGTACTCCAGTAGATACTCTGCCACCCTATGTAAAATGGTAAGATCATTACCAGTTAGTGTAATGTAATCAATACCATGATGCAATGCCACCTCTTTCCCACTATTCCATACAGATATATCTTTTACTATTAAACCATGGCAAATGATGGGGCTATGCAGATAGCCTGGGAGCAGAACCTAAAACACCTAGTGTTCTCTGTTCCATCTGCAAGTGAACTGATCCTGACTTTGCATGTCCATAGAAATACCAAGTAAAAAATTAGCCAGATCTAATACAAAATGATAGGTTCTTAAGGATTTGCTTACTTCACTTAATAATTGGGTGATATTAGAATTGCAGCATGGATTGGAGAAACCGCTTTATGAAGCTCCCAGTAGACCAATGTCGTTCTCCATGATCCATTTGACTTACAGACTGGCCAGACAGGACTGTGAAAAGGACTATGGGTGGGACAAATTATGTCCAATCTGTCTAGCTCTTTAACTGGATCAGTGATCTCTCCATGTGCCCCAGGTAAGCGATACTATCTTAATGCTACTACCCACAAACGCTGTGAGAACCCTTCAGTAGTAGCGGCCTGTGCCAGGTGAGTTTCTCTTTCCACATGGAGGTCAGCTTCCAAATGGCGATTCTTAGAGGCCAGCACTAGCGCCTCTTCCAAAGAGAACCTCCAAGTACCCAGGAGAGGCCCAGCCTCAGCAGCCACTGTTGCTTTTACATATTTGTCTTCTTTATCTACCTTAAGTCTCTACCACCACTCTGCTATCCCAGCAAGCATCTTTGGAGCATCCTATACTCACACACCTGTCCCCAAGCCTCTAATGTTGTGCCAACTGGCCCAAAGCATACTGGACATCTTGGGATTTCCCCTGGCTCAGTCCGTTTCCCCCCCTATTTTGCTTCTGGCTTATGTGGGTTCTTCAGAATCCTGCTTGCTCACAAAAGTTTTTCCAGTTGTTGGGGAAAGTCCCAAAAGTTTAAATTCAGGATCAATTATGAAGAACCAACACACAGACTAATTTAAATTTATAAGAGCTTTAATAGGAAAAACTTACATACCTTGGCAAAGTAGGAGCTTCCAGTGCTGGCAGGCCAGGAAGACTACACTGAGTGGCCAGATTGTTATAATCTGTGAATGCATAATAATCTGGCCACTCAGTGTATATCCTATATAATAAAAGGCTAATATGCAAATTGTCCCTCGACCATGAGTTCAACCAGCAGGCAGACCGGCCAACCACCCATGTCCACCCCCCCTGGCCAGGCTGGCTGAACCCCATCCATGCACAAATTCATGCACCAGGCCTCTAACACACTCACACACACACACACACACACACACACACACACACACACACTGAGTGGCCAGATTATTATGTGTTCAGAGATCATAATAATCTGGCCACTCAGTGTATACCCCTCCTAGGACAGAGCTCCTTTTTAAAGGGGGTTTAGAACAGGGGTTAATGCCAAAACCAAATGGCAGGTAGTCGTGTAGACCTCTTGGGAGGACAATGTTACAAGCAAAGTTAAAGGGTAACATCAGGCAGTGATTACACTCTATGTGTTCATTAACTTCCTTCTGGAGGACATGACATTTGTCTTTGGGTGGCACTTCGGTTTTTTGAGTAGTTTGCCAAATGAAAGTTTACAGAGGGTTAAACATCCACAAAGAGTTCAAGTCACAGTTAGTTCAACATCTCCCTAATGCCTTCACCACTGGAGCTATATAGCATCTCGAAAGTGAGTTTCCCACAGAAAATAATTGGCAGTGTCTTACAAAGACCCACATGGAACATGACGGGTCTACTATGTGATTTTGATGAGTTCCCAGTTCTCTCATAACATGGCCTTCATGCTTATACCCTTCTATATTTCTGCATTAAACATTAGAATTTACTTTAGAGTCACAAAATCAGGATTTTAGGATGGACTGAGATCTTTGAAATTACAATAAATTTTAAGTATCTTCATTTTTTTTTTTTTTGCTGATGAAGTTGGTATATAGAGAAGTCACATTGTCTTTTGTTTAATGTCACACAATAAGTTATTGGTACTGCCAAGACTAGATAAAGGTTTTAGCCTTTAATTACATTGGTAAATTACACATAAATCCACTATTTTAGGGATCAAATAATGAAAAATGCTGTCTTTAGCTTCTTAGCAGTGGTGTACTAAGGCAGGGTGATGGAGCTTTCTGTCCTGCTGATTAGTCCTCAAGAATGTAACCAATATGTAACATTTTCCATGAAGAATACTTAGTCACTGACTCTGTTTTAAATTGTGAACATGTTATTGTTTTTATCTAGAAACAAAGCATCCCAATTTGGATGGTTCCAAATGGCCTGAAATTGGGATGCCACAGTTGAAGAATAAATCTATCATGTCTACTTAAGTTCCAATACAATAGAGCAATGGTCGGCAAACCACAGCTCACGAGTCACATGTGGCTCTTTGGCCCCTTGAGTGTGGCTCTTCACAAAATAACACAGCCTGGGCAAGTCTATTTTGAAGAAGTGATGTTAGAAGAAGTTTAAGTTTAAAAAAATTGGCTCTCAAAAGAAATTTCAATCTTTGAACTATTGATATTTGGCTCTGTTGACTAATGAGTTTGCCAACCACTGCAATAGAACATCTGACAACTATTGGTAATTATGAGATTTAGGACAGAAGAACTGTGAAGATGAGATGGAATTGGAGTTGGAGCATATATCCTGCCTCTGTTCTATAATGATTTGATTTCCCCAGAGACATTCCAGTTTAGTTTTTGCCTTAGGACTTATAAGAATATCCATACCTATGACTGGGAGAGTAAATATTTGTTTTATTCACAATCTCATCATCTTACATGTCTTAACACTATGCCAAATGTGTCCTGGGAGTAGAATAGTTAGAAATATCTTTTTTTTTTTTTTTTAACTTTGCCTTTATTTATTTATTTATTTATTTATTTATTTATTTAGTGTTTGTTATTTGGGACATTAAAGTAGAAGTGGTCAAGTGAAATGATTCCATTTGGCTGGATAGTCATTATTCTAGTCAACAAACTGTCCCCAGCATGAGTGCATTATGAAGTTTACAGACGTTCAACTTCTGAACCAATGGAAATGAAAGCCTAGTAAGAGTAAACAGAGAAAGCTGATTGGCAGGATCAGGGTGATCAGGATAAATAAAAGGCAACAGCAGAATATCTGAGAAGGTCAATAATATCTTCCATTGGAGCCAAACCTTTTCAGACAGTGTTTTCACCATGAGTGGCTGCCCATTTTTAAGAAATGACTTTGAGTAAGTATTTATCTCTATTCTTAATATGGTTAGGCTCTTAAAAATGCTAAGTATGCACACTTTAGTTTCTGAATTTCAAGAGTATTGACAATTTTCACCCTTATTCCCTTGTTAATACTCCTGAAAAAAATAGCAGTAAGAGAATTTTAATGACTCATATTATTAGTTTTTGTGCTTACTCAAGATCTATTTTTTTATATCATATTTAATCTGCAGATATGATTTAAGAAAATTATCTTTAGAAGGCAATGAAGAAGACAAATCACAAATTGGTATAAATAAAGCCAGCAAAGGAGGACTTATCTATGGGAATTATCTGCATGTAAGTGGCTAAGTATCATAGTGTTTAGCTTCCATTGTTGGGCATATATTTTGTCTAGTTTTTTTTTTTTTTTTTCCTCATTCATCAAACAGTTTTCTGGATCTAATGTTATCCATTTCCATATAAATTTATGCTTTCACAACGTTGTTAGAATAATTCAAGAGGCTCATATGAAAATTCAGTAGAGAACCCAGAATCTGGGCGAAAAGTGTTAATGATCAGATTAGTGTAGGTAATTGGCAAGCATTGTACAACTTGTATAGATACAACAACTTCATGAAATCCTAGACTAGGTAGGATTTAAACTGATTCCAGAAAAAGAAATCTTTTTTAAATCTTTAAAAAAAAAAATAGAAATGGTAAAGGCCCATGCTTTCTCGAAATCATTAATAAATCAAAGAAAGATACTAATACAAAGGAGATACTGGAGATTATTCTGGGGTATGTTTCAGCCTGTTTGCCTTTTATATCATTTAAGAAGTGAAATAGTTGGAGCTCTGGATGCCTTCATCTATGGGTTTCTAAAGATATGCTAATTAAGAATGATAAAATCTTCTTCAAATAGACTGGTCAGGGAAATAGAATAGTTGAAAGACACAGTCAGCTAAGCATCTTGACAAGCTTTTATCATACTCATTTTAAAAGATACAAGAACAATAACTTCTCAGTGAGTGCGATAGCATTTGTTATCATGGTATCCTACCAAATATAATAATCTTCAGAAAAAGTAAAAACCATAAATTCAACTTACTGTTTATAATAAGACTCATTTATTTTTAAAAAGTAAATAGAATGGATCCTGAGAATTTAAGAATTTAGGGACTTTTTTTTTTTTTTTTTTTTTCCAGTATTGTATTCTACTTTGTGTTAAAATTGATAAAAAAAAAAGTTTTGTAATTTCAAAATAAAACACATTTTTTAGTTTTATGAAATATAATCCTTATATAACATTGTGCAAGATAAAGGTGCACAACCTATTGATTTGATACCTTTATATATTTCTGTTATTACTGGTATAACATTTAGCTAACACACCTATTATGTCATATCATTGCCATTTTTTGGTGAGAACATTTAAGATCTACTCTTTTAGTAGCTTTCATATATATATATATATATATATATATATATTACAGTGTTATTAATATAATCAATGTATTATACATTAGGTCCCCATAACTCATTTATCTTATAGCTGGAAGTTTGCATAAAATCAGGTGTTTATTATTATAATTTTTTTGTTGTTTAAAGTTAGAAAAAATTTTGAATGCACAGGAGCTTCAAAGTGAACTGAAGGGAAATAAAATTCACGATGAACACCTTTTCATCATAACTCATCAAGGTAAGTTGCACAAACGTTTGGACAATAACTATTCCATGGGCATTTTGCGTCAGTAATGAGGAGAGCTACAATTCTTTTAATTGTCAAATGGTGAAAGATCTAGTCATCACGTTTGTTAGAAATGCTCAACAATATTTTACTGTCAGATCAGTGCTCGTAGGACCTTCTGGGATCTGTAGGTCTTCTTTAATGTTACTTCCCTGCTAGGTAGAAACTTTGAGCTTTCTCTTATGTCCAAGGGGGTTTTTATCTTGGAGTTGACAAAGAATTTTTAAGTAAGATGTTACTTGGAAGTTAAAAAAATTACTTTCAAGAAATAGATTACTCAAATTTATTGTGATTTTATATACTCCCATATAAACCTGGTACTTAATAAAAACATAAATTTTGTTGAAAATGGGTGTTTATCCTTTTCAGACTTAAAATCTCTGGGCAGTGTTGTTTTTCCCCCTATTTTTTTAATGTTTCAGTGATACTGTTCCTTTATTAAATATTTTTTGTCTTTTTCTCCTTTTGGAATGAGCCCCCAATTACAAAATATCAAACTCCATTGCCCCAGTACAGAGATGCTCACAGTAAGGACAGATAGCAGTAGCAGGTGCAAGAGATGGGAAGTGATTAAAGCTGAGGTTACAAACCTACACAGGAAGCTAAAACTATCCAACAGGTTGTGCCCTAATTTTAGCACAGGTTAGACTAGCCACACTACCTTGGTGGGTAGCCTCAGTACATTTGGGTTCAGATTTTACACTTCCTTCCATTTAAGAGTCCTTGATTTGAACAGATGGCCTGATGGCACTGGACCAGTCTATTCATTTTTCAAAATGCTGTGGTAGCCCTGAGAGATGTATTGAGAGACTTCAGTAGCTCTTCACTTCAGTGACTGTATCTGTTTGGCATATCCTGGCTGACACTGTCTGCCCTTCCTCAATTATCTTGACAATAGTTGTTTTACAATTTGGCTGGCAACAGTCAGCATTTATTTTTTAATTTTTAAATATATTTTCTTGACTTTTTACAGAGAGGAAGAAAGAGGGATAGACAGCTAGAAACATCAATGAGAGAGAAACATCGATCAGCTGCCTCTTGCACACCCCCCACCGGGGATGTGCCCACAACCAAGGTACATGCCCCTGACCAGAATCGAACCTTCAGTCTGACGCTCTATCCACTGAACCAAATCGGTTTCAGCCAGAGTCAGCATTTAAATGTCATTCCTTATCCTGAAACTGAAGTTCATTTTCATTGGGAATATTCTTGCATGTTGCAAGGAAGGCCTGGTGCTCCCTTTTGCCATCTTCTACAGAAAGCACATTGAGTGGGATGAGGCAGTAAAAGTAGGAGACATCAATATTGTTTTGCACAGCCACCTGCAGGTCACTCAGAGGGTCCGTCTTCATGGCTGGGCCAATGACAGAGGCAGGGAGACAGCAATGCTCTGGTCTGGCATCAGTGGTGTCTGGATGGCCAGAGGAGAACTGGGGAGGACACCAAAGCTGTTCCTGTCCAACTAGGTTGCAGTCTCATGTGCTATAGAGCTCTGTTGGTGAAACTCACTTCCCAGTAGATGTGTCCTGGGTGATGAGCTAATGTTTCAGAAATCTCCAAGCCTTTAGCATCTACTGCAGGCAGCCAAGCAGCCTTAGGAGCCACCAGGTGCCATGCCAATCCCTGTAGAGAATTCAAATACAGTAAAACCTCCATATAAGGACTAATTCCGGCAAGTGAAGTCCGTTAAAGGTGAAAGTCTGTTTTATAATGAAGTAGGTTTTCTGAATGTTAAAAATTTGACAAATTAGTTAGCTTACCTGTTTTTACTTATGTCAATATGTTTGTGGAATTAAAATTAATTATATATGAAAAGTTTAATTTAAAAGAAAAATTTTTTCTGTTACTGTAATTTGAAATATTTACTGAATAGATATAGTAAATGCATGCATTCACCAGTCACTGCGCATAAACAAATGTACAGGACTGGGGAGAGACTTAGCACATGTTGGGAACATCTGTCACAGGTGTTAAAACTGCTGCAGAAAACCACACCAGGGAATAACATAACCAATTATCATGACTGATGGGGTGTGATCACGTGTTAATCATTCAGTGAATATTGTTTATAAGTCGTGACTCGTGGATTTCAATATGTAGACTATAGTTGTAGATATGCAATATTTATTTATTTTATTTATGTCGGCAAAATTACTACAGGTTTTTTCTCCAACATATGGCCTATTCACTAAAATTTGTTAAAAGTAACAATGGGGCCAAAACCGGTTTGGCTCAGCGGTAGAGCATCAGTCTGCGGACTGAAAGGTCCCAGGTTCGATTCTGGTCAAGGGCATGTACATTGGTTGCTGGCACATCCCCGGTAGGGGGTGTACAAGAGGCAGCTGGTCCATGTTTCTCTCTCATCGATGTTTCTAGCTCTCTATCTCTCTCCCTGCCTCTCTGTAAGAAAATCAATAAAATATATTAAAAAAAAAAATAACAATGGGTTACTAACCAAAAAACCCAACAACCTGTTAATTTAATTATAAGCAAATCATGGTTAAAAGCATTTAAAAATTAACATAGTATTAATTTTCACAATTGACATACAGACTGGAAATTTTGTCTGTTAAATCTGAAGTCCAGTTTGTTAAGTTGAGGTCTGCAAAATTGAGGGTTTACTGTAGATCATAGAGACCACTGCTGAGCATAGCAGGAGCAGGTGAAGGAGCAAAGGTTACTGACACGGATGATGGAATAAAGGATTGTCCCACTAGACTCTCTAGTCCTCCTCCCAAGAGACCCCTACTCCCACCTACATGGAAAATATATGTGGCACATTGACTGGGGGATAGAGGTCAAGGTTTATAAGGTGCCCCAGAAGGTCACCTTGAGAGGAAATAACTGGAGGCTAGTCAAGGTTAGTGGCAGTGAAGAGCAACATGAGCAGTAGTTTTTTCCTATAGGAGTCCATGACTTCGAGTTTATAAAGTCTCTGAACTCAAATTGTGTGCAAAACTTTGTGAGTGTGTCTTAAAGAGGCCTGTGACCCCAATATATTAAGATTTACTCTAAAATTGTTGGTGTCCTAATACTAACCTCTGATTGTCCAGGACCCAATGACCCAAGCTAGTCATTGGTCCATTTCTAGATATGCTTTCTTTGCTTACTGATTCTTTGTGTTTTTCCCTCAAATGGTCATTTGTTTAATTGACTGGCTAAAACGATTCACTCTTTTGAGTAAAAATTAAAAAACAGAAAATAATTTACTAAATTTATACAAAGACAAGATCAATATGGGGGAAATCATGGCATGGTAGCAAAAATTTGGAATCAGAAAATTGTTTAGAAACCCATCTCTACCGTTATAAATTGGGAAAGCTTTGTCAGGTACCTTAACCAGTAACTCTTTCCATTTCCCCATGTGCAAAATGGAGAACATTGTTGTATTTCATCATTCATAGTGTTCTTGTGAAGATGAAATGAGGTAATGTGCATTAAGCACTTAGCCCAAAGTATAGCACATAATATGCATACAGCAAATGGTAGCTATCATTATTTTATAGGGAGACTTTCCCTTCTTTCTTCAGTTACAAAACATAATCATTGAGTCATGGGGCACGCCACAAAAAGATAAACCTAAAAAATTGCTACGTAAACTGATCAAGAAAATATCTGCTTTGATCTTTGTAAAATTAGGAAAATTAAATTGCAATAGTATCCTGAAATGTAATTTAAAATATAATTTGATTCCTCTAGTTAGTGCAGAAACATGGCCTGCAACCATATGGTAGCACCAAGAAGAATGCACTAGAGATCTCTAAGATTACTGGTTTTCTATGCTCAGTTAATAACTCCATTGGCTATTTAATTCCTTTATTCATAAAATAATCACCTGAGTTTATCCTACGCCAACAATGTGCTAGATATTGAGGGAAAGAGATGAATAAGACAAAATTTTAGATTTAGACTAGTCATAAGCTTGTCATCCCCCAAATTTTCTAAGCCCCTAGAAACCAACGTTTTGTCATATTCATCAGATTAGTAAATATTGATGTTTCAGTTTATAGATGAAGTTGAGTGTCAGTTCTGCTTATCTGCATGCCTCCATCTTCCAAGGGGACTGTAGAATTAGATGATGTGCTATATCCTAAAATCACTTAAATAGTATATTTGTTGAGAGAAATCAGAATAATAATAACTACAAAGCATATAGATAATATGCCTAGCATATTAAAAGTCAAATGGTGGCCATTATACATTTATCACTAATATTTGGTTATAGCATAAATTAGGGCTATATTGGTATTTCTTGATTTTTAAATTATATTTTTATTTTTTTCAATGTGTTAACCATGTCTTTTATATAATTACTAGAGGCCCAGTGCACAAATTCGTGCATGGGTGGAGCCCCTTAGCCTGGCTAGTGAATGGGAGGTTGGCCAAGGGAAGGGACCATGGGAAGTTGGCCGGCCACAGGAGGTTGGCTGGGGAGTGCATTGATCACCAGGGGGCAGCTCCTGCATTGAGCATCTGCCCCCTGATGGTCAGTGCATGTCATAGCAACCAATCAACTGGTTGTTTGGTCATTTGGTCGCTTAGGCTTTTATAGATATAGATGGTCAAAGAGGCTCCCAAAACTTTCCAACTGACAATGTGGTTTTTTTTTGTGTTTTTTTTTTTTTTTTTTTCATTGCAGCTTATGAACTCTGGTTTAAGCAAATCCTCTGGGAATTAGATTCTGTTTGTGAGATCTTTCAGAATGGCCATGTGAGTTGTTATATGACAATATTGGTTCCAGGCTATTTTTGGAGAATGTAAAAAATATACCTAATGAGAAAAAAATTTAACATCAAATGGTGATTATTACTTAATTTAAAAAAATTTTTTTATCTCTAGTGAACAAGAGCTTAGTCATATTTTCCCTATGCCATTGCTACCTCAGAGGTTCACATTTCATTCAAGTTCTTTTCAAATTTCAGTTTCAAGCCCCTTATTTAGAACTCATTATTATTTTTTTCCCATTAAGAATAGTTGTTTTAGCTGATGGTAGATTGCCAGAAACATCAAAGATGAGAGAGAATCATTGATTGGCTGCCTCACACACGCCACGCACTGGGGATCCAATCTGCAACCTAGGCATATGCCCTGACCTGGGAATCCAACTGAGACCTCCTGGTTCCTAGGCGGATGCTCAGCCACTGAGTAATGCTAGCTGGGCTGTGATTTTCTATTTTTAAAGAAAGATATATGATTCTGATTTTGCAGACATTCCTTGCAAGTAATTCAGTTACCAATATTTCAATATCAATAAAATTATTCTCCCAATGTTTCTTTCTGAAATAAAGATAACGTTCATAGGAATGTACTGTGGTTTGTAGTCTATTTTGTAACTTCTGAAAAATCAGAATTGATTTCTTAGTGTCTCATTTCTTAACCATCAGGTCAGGGATGAGAGGAATATGCTTAAGATTGTTACGCGAATGCATCGAGTGGTGGTGATCCTTAAATTACTGGTAGAGCAGTTTTCTGTCCTGGAAACGATGACAGCCTTGGATTTCAATGACTTCAGGTATGCACCTGTGGCTTTGTGATAACTCAGTGGGGTTCACCTTCTCACTTTAGTGTGGTAAAAGAGGGCACATGTATTGTGTGCCATGAGAAGCCTGTCACTACTAGCACTTGGGAGTCTTAATCACAAAGGATTTGAGAAGTTATTAAAAGCTTTTCATCACTTGTTTTTGCATACAAACATAACATGATTAGTTAATTTCATCATAGTTGTGCCCTATTTTTATCCAAAAATAATTTTAGACTACTTATCAAAATGGCTAACGTGGTTTATATAATGCATATAACAAATTTTGTAAAAACTAAAAGCTAAAAATAAAAGAGAAACTGATTGATAGATAAAGAAGGATTTAAAAAAAAAAAAGCATCAGAGTAAGTCATGGATTGCATTATAAATTTTCTACATTTCCAGGCCTGGTGCACAAAATTCATGCATTCACCCTCTAATCTGGGACCCCCTCAAAGGATGTCCAACTGCCCATTTAAGTGGGCAGTCAGGCATCCTTCTCACAATACAGGACTGCTGGCTCCCAACTGCTCCCCTGCCTTCCAGCCTGATCACCCCATAACTATTCCCCTGCCAGCCTGATGGATGCCTAACTGCTCCTCTACCAGTCTGATTGCCCTTAATTGCCCTCCCCTGCTAGGCTGGTCACCCCTAACTGCCCTCCCTTGACAGCCTGGTTGACCCTAACCTCCCTCCCCTGCTGGTCTAGTTGCACATAACTGTCCTTCCCTGCAGGTCTGGTTGCCCCCAACTGCCTTTCTTGCTGGTTTGGTCACCCCTAACTTACCTCCTTTGCCAGCCTGGTCGCCCCTAACTTCCCTCCCCTGCTGGCCTGATTACCACAACTGCCTTTTCCTGCAGGTCATCTTGTGGTGGCCATCCTGTGTCCACATGGGGGCCCTCGTCTTTGACCATATGGGGGTGGCCATCTTGTATGTTAGAGTGATGGCCAATTTGCATATTACCTCTTTATTATATAGGATGTACACACATGTATATGTACACACATACATGTATATGTGTATGTATGAATATACATGTTACACATATACTCAGAAAAAAAGCTTTTATCATACCAAATTTAAAAATAGATTTTCCTAGAACATTAGGTGCAACTGATAACGTGATATATAGACCAACAAGTTTGACATTCAAAGAAGCGTAGCAAAATTCCTTTGTGGTGGATTTAAAAAATTGAAGTCTTAGTATCAATTAGATGAAAGATACTTACAAAAAAGTAAGATGTTGTATATCTGTGTAGGGTAGGAGTATTAATATTTTGATTGCCTTTTTTTTTTTGTCTTAGGCAACATCCCCTTATACTTACAGTATGTCATTGGGGCTCATAATAATAATAGGTAGTGACATCAATGATGGAATGTAAGTTTTAGACAATGGAATACTATTCAGCTAGAAATAAAAGGAAATCTTACCCATTGTGACATTATCCTAAGTGAATTAAGCCTTTCAGAGAAAGACAAATACCATATAATTTCACTCATTTGTGGGATCTAATGAACAAAATAAACTAACAAAGTAGAAACAGATTCATAGATACAGAGAATAGACTGACAGCTCTCAAAAGGGAGCAAGTAGAGGGCTAGGTGAAAAAGTTAAATGGATTAAGAAAAATAGACACACATACAGTATAAGTTTTAGGAGGGATTGAAGAATATTTATAAATTATGAGGAGTCTTTTAGCACTATTGAAAATATATTGTTCAATGCCCACCTGTTTTTATTTTAAGAAGACATTTAGTATACACACATACACACATATGTATTTCTGCACATCTACATACATATGACACTTTACAAACTATACAGACATTTCAACTTTAAATTGGTTGACAGATATCAACAATGGTGTTTAGGTAACGCATTTTTCAGTAATGTCAGAACCATACTTCCAATTCTAGGCAGCTGTGTGTTTTTGTTCTTGATGGTATCTAGGAGAGTAAAACTGTGATTTACAATGTCAACACATTGCTCTCTTTTTCTTCTCTTCCCTCATTTATTCTCAAAGAGAGTACTTATCTCCAGCATCAGGCTTCCAGAGTTTACAGTTCCGACTGTTAGAAAACAAGTTGGGCATTTTTCAGAGTTTAAGAGTCCCTTATAACAGGAGACATTATCGTGATAACTTCAAAGGAGAAGAAAATGAACTGCTCCTGAAGTCAGAGAGGGAAAAAACACTTTTGCAACTAGTGGAGGTACGTGCTCAAATACTAATTCTAAGGTCTACATATCTCTTTTTAATTTAGCTTCTGCTAGATAAGAATTGTACAACTAATAGCAGAGTTTGGTTACATTAATTATAAATAAAAAATATAAATAATTTATAAAATGCTTGTTTATAAATTCAAGTAAAATATTAAATATTAAGAATTCTCTTCAGAATTTTAGAAACATTTATATAATCAATTATATGTTAATATTCAATAACCTCCTCATCTTATTAAAGCAATTTTTTTAAATATCCCTACTAAATAAATTTAATTTGAGGATTTTAAAAGTGTGTTTAATTATTTAATAAGGTTAATTTCTTCAAAATAATTTGTAATTGAAAAGTACCACAAGTTGTGTATTTTTTTTCTCAATTAAATCATATTACTAAGAGTATATACTCTTTAGAATTTTTCTTTTTATGTTTTATTTCCCCAAGGGTCTATAATGGTCTTGAGAAATTACTAATTTGTTTCTTCATAAATAAATTATTAAATAACTATTGTATTGTCTTGATTTACTTTACAGAGGCTTTTCATTTGCAGATTAAACTTTTCTTTTGGTGAATTATATTCTGCAAACTAATCCCCTGGTTACAGTTAATATGAATATATATATATATATATATATATATATATATATATATATATATGTAATAGCTTATAAAGATAGGGATAGAAAGAATCAGAAAGCCAATAATGAGAGAAAATTATTGATTGGTTGCTTCCTTCACGCCCCCTACTGGGAATGGAGCCTGCAACCCTGATATGTGACCTGACTAGGAATCGTACCATGACCTCCAGATCACAGGTTGATGCTCAACCACTGAGTCACTCCAGCAGTCATAGTTCTTAATAAATAAAGGTTAAACAGCTGTAGGGTGATTTCATTAAAAAGTAAAAGATGGAATATAATAGATTTCTATTTTTAAATGAAGAAATTGAAGGGAAAGAAAATATTTACACATAAAAAACATCTTATTATATGCTTCACAAAACCATGAAAATGTTCTGTTTTGTCATTTATAATGTATCTTAGATATTTAACATTTTACAATATATTAACTTAAAAATAATGTTTACTTAAGGCATGGCTGGAAAGAACACCAGGTTTAGAGCGACATGGATTTAACTTCTGGGAGAAGTTGGAAAAAAATATTGTTAAAGGCCTGGAAGAAGAATTCAGTATGATTCAGGTATTTATGATGTCTTAAGTAAATGTAAGTTTACTACAGAAAGAAGTATTGAAATTTTTATTTTAATAATTCTTTACGTATCTCTTAAACTTACATTTTTTTCTTAAGTTATTTTTCTTTCCCAAAAGCATATCCTTAGAATATATTATATGAAGGGACTGGGGGACACCGGAGGCAGGTGGGTGGAGCAACCAAGCCCATTTGAGGGTGGACCCAGCCTTGCTATGCGCCTGCCACCCCAGAAGGCTGAGGGGATTGGGCACCACCATCTTTGAGGGCAGGCCAGTCAATTAGCATATTCCCTTCTTATTGGCTGTGGGTGCTGCCATCTTTGTTATGGCATGAGGGTTAATTAGTGTATTCATTCTTTATTAGATAGGATGTTAAAGATTGATAAATCACTTAAACTTGAAGTTTACAACCAGTGACTATGAGGAAGATTCCTTCTCATAAACTATAATTTGCAAGTTGTAATATTAGGAGAAATTGTAAATATTCCAAGTACAGCTTTTCTATATCTGGCCAGTCTACTTCTCAAAGGCAATGTTTTATAAAATAAGAATCTATTCTCTGTTGTGGGAATATTAATGAAGTGTTTTCTCCAAAGGCTAAAATCGAGTCAGAGGAAAAGGAGGAACAAATGGCTGAATTTCAAAAACAAAAAGAGGTGTTACTCTTATTATTTGATGAGAAACGTCATGAGCATCTTCTTAGTAAAGGTAGGTAATTTTATTCTTAAGTATTGTTTCTTGGCACTGTACTATTGTGGTATAAAAGATCAAAATCCACTTGGGGAAATAAAATGAAAATTGATATTCTACTCATAGAAACAAACATTGGTTAGTGATATATAGGATAACATTATATTAACAGTTTTAAATAGTCATTTTGTCTCAAAAACATTGGTAGAAACTTTCATAATATCTCAAATATGAGGATATACCAAGGTACATGGAAAATGGCTTCTCAAGTAGTTCAGAGCTTAATAGATATTGCCAAAAATATATACATATTTTGAATATTTATAAAGTCAGTGTTATTAGAACATACAGTTCATTTACAAAAATTGAAAGAATCCACAGAAATGAGTAATTTTTGTCAATGCCTGCTTTCAAATTGATGACCTTTCTGGTCCAGGTACTGCTAATAACTCAAAGCAATGGAATTCCAAACATCAAAAATCATTTTGTTTGGTATTTGTATGCCCTCAATTTATCAACCATTGCTAGTTTTGTACTATAAACTTTACATTTTATGTATCGCCATTTAAAAAAATCTAGTGAAATTTTAGAATAATTTTTTTACGTTCAAAGCTTAGTCTGGTTTCCCCCATTAAATTCAAATAACTTAAACCTGAAAAGGAGTGAAAATTAAATGTTATCAGCTGTTAAAAATTTTTGGAACATCTTAGATATATTTCAGTCTCCTTTTAAAATCCAATATTATTCATTTTTTTTTCCTTTCTTAAAATAAGGTATTATATGTGTACATATCTTCTTACCAATCCCCACCCTCCTCTTAAAATCCAATATTAAAACAATGTTTTATATAATATTTTTCAAATTTCAATCTAGGGATAAAATTTTAAAGTAAAACTTACATTGCTTTCTAAAATCATATAATAATTATTTAAGGTTATAGTGCCAAATTAATGATCTATTAAATTAAAACTTGCTATGTATTTTGCAGGTGAAAGACGACTCTCATACAGAGCACTTCAGGGTGCCTTGATGATATATTTTTACAGGTAAAAGCAAATTAGAAGAGAAACACAGTTAAAACTGAGGATTGATTGAGATAATTTATCAAATATCTATAAAACTTATAAATTTCAATCATAGTTCTATTAAGTTATTTTGTTTCGATGGAAAACTTAGAAAATAATTAATTGTGAGGGTTTAATTAGGTTTTCTTTCTTTTAAATAGTAAACGTTTAACTTTATCTCTGTAGTTGGTTAAAAAAAAATCCACTCAAATGGATAAAATATATATTTTTTATAATTTTATAATGTTACTAGAGGCCAGGGGTATGAAATTTGTGCACCTGAGGTGGGAAAGGGGGAGGGGACCCCTCATTCCAGCCTGGGCCCTCTTGAAGTCCAGGAGCCCTTGGGGGGGGATATCCAACTTTCCCTGAGGACAGCAGCAGCTGGACATCCTTGGTGCTGCTGCAGAGATGCTCCAGTGTCAGATATGCTCCTGACACAGCTGCTGCACTCACCAAACATGAGCTCAGCTTCTGGCTGAGCGGAGCTCCTCCTGTGGGAGCACACTGACCACCAGGGGGAAGCTCTTGCATTGAGCATCTGCCTTCTGGTAGTCAGTGCGTGTCATAGTGACCAGTCGTCCCTCTGTTTGGTCAATTTGCATATTAGCCTTTTATTATATAGGATATTAAATGTCCAAAAAGACCACAGTGCAATCTCTCTGAAAAATTTAGTCATTAAAAGTGTGCCATCATTAAATAATGTAGTAGAATTATTCTTGTTTTATAAAGAAAAAAATTTGTAAAGTGAAAATACCTTGTAAACTGTTGTTCTGCTTATTCCACAATTTTAAGTATAGTTAACTTCACTGTATAATACTTTAAATGTCCACATACTCCCTTATATGTATGAAGGCCTCATCTTCATGGTTCATAAATTAAATGAGTCAAATTATATAGTAAAATACCTATGTTTACTGGATATATCATTTACTTGTATTTATTTAAATTGTAATCCTCTCCAATCTTTCTTCAGAATAACAACATAAAATCCTTTGACTCTTTTACTAAACTCTTACTAAATGTATGCATGTATGCGCTCAATTTTATGTATATTAAACAAAAAATATATTGAGTTAGTTGAAGGATTGGATGAAGAAAGAGAATATATACATTACATTATATATATATATATATGTGTGTGTGTGTGTGTGTGTGTGTGTGTATGCAGTATTTATTTTATTTTTTAATATCTTTTTCTGGAAAAAGATTTTTACTGTATTAGCTGGGAAATCTGAGAGAAGGTATCTGACTGCCTTTTAATGAGATTCCATGTTAGGTGTGACTGTGGCTGTAAATTACATAAGATATTTTAGACTCTTTAAAGAAATGCTGTAAGTTGAGGGGTAGTATTCCATTTTTGAGATGAAGAAGCTAAGACTGATTGGGTAATCCGGAGATGATCCCACAATTCCTAAGAGCTAAGTTGACCGCTGTTTGCAGATGAGAAATCCACGTGCTTCCTAATGCCCTGGGTTTGCTTGAATATATTCCTTTGTTTTTATTTCTCCTTTAGGGAAGAACCTCGATTCCAGGTCCCTTTCCAGTTGCTGACTTCTCTGATGGAAATAGACACACTCATGACCAAATGGAGATGTAAGTCCTCCCCCCCCTCCACCCCTATCACTCTTCTCCCCTGATCTGGCTCCTTTACTCCTTTTCTCCTGTCTGCCCTTCTTGCTCTCTCTGTTCTTCCATCTTTTGTGTGAGATTTTTTTTTTTTTAATCAGCTTGACATTATTCTCCCCGAGGGTCTATTGATCCAATACACACGTGGCACAGCACTTAGAGCCCAAAGTAACTTTGGAGCCCAGGAAGATATTTTATTTGATAATCCGAAGGGAAAAAAATAAACTTTGGGTCCAAGGAAAACTTTAAAATATATAATAGTAATTTATTTATTTTTATGACAATACAACTTAAAAATATAAGAAACCCAGAGGCAAAATAACCAGAGCTCATTAAAGTCGAACTATGGCCCCCCTCTTTCCCATGTTGTTTATAGGCAAATGTAAATATGGATGTAGTCAAATGGGGTGCCAGGCAACCTGCTGGCCTCATGTGACTCTCATAGGTGAACCTTCCATATGGCTAAGTGATAAGGGGTGAGCCTTTTTCTCAGAAGCAATCATCATTATCAACCCTGATTTTTAGAAAAGTATCCATGGAGTTAATTTGTGTGTTTGCCTAGATAACCACGTGTGCCTGGTGCACAGAATGCTGGGCAGCAAAGCTGGCACCGGGGGGTCCTCAGGCTACCAGTACCTGCGTTCAACAGTCAGGTAAGATGGGTGATGCTCCTTTTTATCTTGGTGGAAATCACCAGGTTTTCATTTCTCCATGTATACATGGCATTATATAGGAAAAGTCATTTATACTTGCTCTTGTCTGCTGACAACACATTTGTAGTGAGATTAAGGCATTCCTATTAGAACTTTTGGAGATCATTGTATAAATTCTTAGTTCTGGAAGTTTATTATTTTCATCTGTGATGAAGAGGGGCATGGTGCCAATGCCTGTGAGGGCATGGAGGCGTCAATACAGGTAGAAAATGTCACCTAGTTCTGGCTGAAGTTTGTACTAGATTAAAATAGTTATCATTATGGCCACTAATGTACTCTTGGTGAGATGAATGATACAGCTAAAAATATAGTTTATTTCCTGATAAGACTATATATTATAGCATGAAAACTACTTTTATCTACTCCAGGGAGTGCCCTTTTAAATTTTTTACAAGAAAAAGTTCAACATTTACTGAGCATTCAAAACTTGATAGAGATACTATTTCCAGAATATTTGTGTTCTTGTTGTATTTAATATTCACAGCCTTATAGATAGAAGGATCCATAGATAGATGCATCTGAAAACTGAGAACCTTTCTTTGAGGAAAGATAACCAGATCAAGAATATGTTAGATAGTTCCCTTTAGTCTCCAAAATTTCTTAGAGTACATTGTTTTCATTCCTAATTGTACCACCAGATTGGCTAAGTTGTAAAATGCACAGGTTCAATTTTTCATCATTTTTATACTTCCACTTTCCCTGGGAAGAAACTCTAGGTTGAATCATTTGGAAAATTCATTGGTATAAATTTTCACAACCATTATATATTTTCTCTTTCCCTAGGAATAAATCCTATAAATATCTAAGAGAAAATGATTGTACAAAATGAGCACACACACCAGCAGTGGGAATAATTAACACTAATTAACAGCATTTCTGGTGTGTCATTATCTCATCAACTCCTCACAAAGGCTGGCCAGAAGCAGGGATTGTAGTTTTTATTTTACAGAGTGAGAAACCAAGACAGTGAGGTTTAGACAACTCATCCAAGATTGTAGGAATTGGAAGTTACAGAACAGGATTTGAACTCAAATTTGACTTCAAAGGCAAATGCTCTTCCACTATAAAACTGCAACAGTTAAAATAATAAATAAAATAAAATAAAATAAATAGTTGACTAACAAACATAAAAGCAATGTTTAGTGTAAAAATTCTCGGACATTTATTATAAATCAAAGGTGGCATTTTGATTTATAAATTAATTTATATCAGTTACTTGGCTGCTACTTTGCAGGTGGGAAATATTTTCTAATGAATGACTAAAAACTCTGGATGCTTTATTATTTTGAATACTGTTTAAAAGTTCAACATGAGACAATAATAAGGCTAGGTTTTAATCTGAAACAGCTTGGTCAGATCAATAATGTGGTTTTATGGGCATGAACTTTGGATACAAAATAAAAAATGGTGCAATCTTAATATTAATAGTACTTAATATAATATATAAGACATATACAATATGTAATATGAAATATAATATTGAATACTAGTTATTCATGGCAAAATATTGTTTGAGAAATAAAATTGATGAAAATTTTAAAATATTTCATTTCAATAAACCTAAAACACCTGTATATGTTTTTCCAGTGATAGGTACAAGGTATTTGTAGATTTATTTAATCTTTCAACGTTTCTGATTCCCCGACACTGGATACCGAAGATGAGCCCAATTATTCGCAAATTTCTTTACACGACTGAATATTGTGACAGCTCTTACTTCAGCAGTGAAGAATCAGATTAAAGTCTATGAAGAACACTGATTTCTGTGGGGTTTTTCCTGTGCATTTTCATAAATACACAGACTTCTAAGATAATATATGTATATATGTAGTAAAGCACTGTGGTGCTCTGATTCAACCCCGGAAAGAATTTTATTTCATTTATTATGGTAAGACCAAGCATTTCCATGAAGATACAAGACACTGAGAAATGAATCCAGTTACACTGTTACATTGTACATATGGTCTTTTCCTATTAAAAATGTATTGTCCCCTGATATTTACCTTAATGTAACCATTTAACCTAATCATTATCTCATTGGTACATATTTTATAAGCTTGTAAACTTCAGCTATTTAATGGAATAAAATGTCATTCTGTACAAACTTATGCAATCAAAAATTTTGAGTAATAAAAATTATTCTTGCTGAAACCGGTTTGGCTCAGTGGATAGAGCATTGGCTTGAGACCGAAGGGTCCCAGATTTGATTTCGGTCAAGGGCATGTACCTTGGTTGCAGGCACATCCCCAATGGTGGGGACAATTCTCTCTCATCCATGTTTCTAGCTCTCTATCCCTCTCTCTTCCTCTCAGTAAAAAAAAATCAATAAAATATATTTTTAAAATTATTCTTTCTGGCATATATTATTTTGAAAACATTGCTTGTATTTATTAGGACACTTGTGATCAACAGAAATCTGTGTGAAGCTGGCCCACAGGGCATTCACTGGACATTACTCCATCAGCGTAAAGGACTAAGGAGCAGGTGGAGCCCTAAGGCCACAGGGATGAAGCCAGCTCCCCCAGTACTTTATTCCTGGAACACTTTGAGGATCCTCTGGGTCTCCTCTCCCCTCTGTAGGTGCTGACGTTATTGCTCTCTGATGTAGGCCCACTCCTCCTCCCACAGGTTGCGTCTCAATCCTAGCATCTCTCTACTCCCAGAAGGACAAAGTCACTCTTCCCAGAGTGACTGTATCCACAGTCACCAATGGCTGTGGTCTGGGAGGTACATTCTCCCTCAGTGCATAGCAGATTTGAGGTAGGGATGAGAGTTCCCTCAAGATAAGTGTTCTTTCCAGGAGAAAGGGAAGGCAAACGGACTGAACAATGACCCAGACCATTGCTAGTAACTATTAGACTAAGCGTTTAGACCACACCCGTGAGTTTTAGTCCTTTTTCTAGCTTGCTCTGGATATTGGCAACATTTCCTTAAATTTTGCTATGAGGGGAGAACAAAATATTATCAAAGAAATCTAAAAATGTCCAAATGCCCAATGACCTAGGGTAGCAAGCTCTTGTTGGAACGGAACTATTCTTTAGTCTCAATTACACGTTTTTTCTTATAACAATCATATTGCTTTTGCCTACATGGCACGTGTGTGTGCGCACATGTACATAGTACCTGGTGGTAGTTAAGCTGGAAAAATAGAGAGATGAGTAACATGTTGGCTAAATCAGCAAATTCTGGCTCTGCCATTTATTAACTAACTACTTTGCTGCACTCATTTAAGCTCCAGTTTCCTATTTTTAATGGAGATAAAATTCTCATAATCTTTGCTTTTTTTTTTTTTTAATAAAGTAATGAATATATCAATACCTTGGAATCAATGCTATTTGTCAAGGTTTATTCCTTTAACAGGCTAAATACTTCAATGTAATTATTTTCATCTATGTTTCTTGGTGTTACAAAGCTAAATAGTTGAAAGGGCTTTTTCAAGGGATATAACAGTACTTCTTAATGTACATGTCAACACAATTTGAAATAGCAGTCTTGACCCTTGTCTCCATTCAAACTTGCTTCTGGTGCTGACAATCCATGTTAACTAATAACTCTTAAATTATAAGGTTGTCTAATTTAGTATTAGCAAAGCAATTGTAAGGTTGTCTAATTTAGTATTCACTTTTAGGTCTTTGTGAAATTACATCCAGGGACATCTTGGTCATTTTCATTATGCAGCCTAATTATTACGTGAAGCTTTTGTTGGTTTTGTCTTAGCCTCATTGGGTGAACTCCAAGTAGTCTGTGATGGCTGAAGCACAGCTGCTGTCTATTAAGAAGAGCAGGAACGGAGGTAAGACGGTGGAGAGGAGCTTCTCCAGGAGAGCTCATTTAAGTTAGCATGCAATCTTTGAGGCAATAGGGGAGTAACATGAAAAAATTCTCTTTAAGAAATGTAAATCCTGGGACACACAGTAGATGGATTAGAAGGACATCCATCAGAATCGCCTGGAGGGCTGATTAAAACCAAGTGTTTTCTTCTCTGGAGACTATATTTTGAGAACCACTAGTTTCAGGAGCATGTGTTTATTGGGCTGACTGCTAAACAGTAGAGATAAGATACAAAAGAAAATGCATCTGGAAAGGAGCAGTAGAAATGGAGAGGAGGCAGATGACTAGGTGATCAGCTATATCTGACTGATTAAATATCTAAGATGTCCCTCAGGTATATCTGACTGATTAAATATCTAAGATGTCCCTCAATTTTACTGATTGGGTGATTACATAATGTTGATGCTATTAACCAAAATAGAGACTCTAGAAGGTGTGGGAGGTTTTTGTTTGTTTGTTGTTGTTTATTGGAGACACTGAGGTTAAGGTGTCTTATGGAGAAAACCAAAAAGTAAGTATGTGGATTTGGAACTGAACAAACTCTTATGTGAGTGTAAAGCACATTAACACTGTATTCACAAAATGTAAGCCATGCACTTCTGGACAGTCATTTTAACCCAAAGTCAAATATAGGTTGTTTTATTATAAATGCCATCAAAATTCAGAGCAGCTGAGAAGTATTATTCACTTTGTAATACAAAAATGTTTAGTATTTGAAAAAGAGTATCAGAAAAGCATTTATGTCACATAAAAATCAGTAAATAAACACACAAACAATTCCATTTTGGCAAACTTAGACAATAAGAATATTAATCAATTAAACTAATCAATATTTGTCTTCCTGGAGCATTTCTAAACCTGAGTCAATACATAATTTGTTGATATTGTTTCTGGTTGGTATAAAAAAAAATACAGTATTTTGTTATTTTATTTTATTTTTCTAATAATATGAGTGGATAACTAAAAGTAAAAAGGGAAAAAAGGAAGAGTAGGATGTTCTCAATTATTTCAGTGGTTGCTGCTTCATTTAAAACTCTGTTTATTTTTTTTGTTTTTTTGTTTTTTTTGTTTTTGGGTGTGTGTGTTTTTATATTTTATATTAGGAAATGACCATGAATTTTAGAGAATAAATATATATGTAGTATTTATTAGATTTTCTTATATTCTTATATAACTCATTTAATATAGTTGTAAAATCAAAAGATCAACTCTTATGCTATGAGGTTCTTGCACAGGCACACATAATTACTTAAGCAAGAGAGAACATGGGCATGAAGAACCAGGAACCCGGTCAAAGCCAAATGGATGCACATAAAAAAGTAGTTAGAATGAGATTCCCGAAAACATAAGCAGAAAACTGAAAAACAAACAAACAAATAAACAAAACACAAAAATCAGTGAGCCTGAGAAACTCACATTCTGACTAATACCCCAGATTAATGGCATTCGACTTTGAAAGGAGTGTTGCCTACAAATGATGGGAGGAAGAGAAAGGTGAGCGCCTGATGTTGGTGGCTTAGATGAATCAAAAGAAATAGTTGTAGAATGGAAATGAAAAATAAACAATGAGACTTCTTAGCCAGGGAAGTCAAACCACCAGGAGAATTTAAGAGTGTCCCAGTAAAAAGTAAGAGAAAGAGAGTAGGAAAATGTGGAAGAAAGCATTGTCCTTTAATAAAATGAGATCATAGTAAGGAAATGAAGTCTCGTGGCATCCTACTGACAATGAAAATTTCAAAATAATAATCTTTTCTCAGGTAATGCTAGTTGAGTTCTTGTCACATAGTTGCCATATAATTTATTGTCATTTAATTTCGATCTCTTAAAAAATGATCTTGTCCTTTTGTTTTCTGCTTCATAATCTTCCTACAATTCAAGGAGTAAGTACTATTTGTTGAGGTAAAGCTATTGGTATTTCAAAACCCTTATGTCATTTCAGCTCAGACAGCTAAGAGTATATTTGTGAGAGGCACACATAACTTTAGGTTGGCTATTCTTCTATGTTGGGGTAAGGTAAGGCAGTAATTATATCCCACAAGGAAAATAAATTCTTATCAGCTCTTTAATGACATTGAAAATAAATAAAAAACAAACAAAAACAGCAATTAAACAAAACCAGATAATAGCCTCTTCAAAGCAGAGACCTAAAGTATCTTAATCCAACATTCACTCCAGCTTAGGAAATTGTTTCCCAAGCCATGGTGCCGGTGTTCTTCCTACTGACTATGGTTGCCATAACTTGGCTTAAGCACTAGTAGGTATTAGAACCTTTTGTTAAAACCTAGTTGCTAAAACCTAAAGGTGAATAATGTTGAGAATGAAATACCATGCTACATTTCATTAGAAATCTTCATTTTGGTAGTTGTCTCTTGATTCGATCAATTAGTCATACAAATACAGCAGAAACAAAATCTGCAATACCTAAGAAAAAAAAGAAATTATTAATAGGAATCTACTTCTTTTTTTTTTTTTTTTAATATATATTTTATTGATTTTTGTACAGAGAGGAAGGGAGAGGGATAGAGAGTTAGAAACATCGATGAGAGAGAGTCATCGATCAGCTGCCTCTTGCACACCCCCTACTGGGGATATGCCCGCAACCAAGGTACATGCCCTTGACCGGAATCGAACCCGGGACCCTTTAGTCCCCAAGCCGACGCTCTATCCATTGAGCCAAACCGGTTTCGGCTACTTCTTCTTTATATGCTTTGTAAATAGGAAATTAAAACAATGTTCATTTAGGTTCAGAAAAAGTTAGCAACTACTAAGAAAATAATTTAACAGATATACCTGTCAGTATAAACATGGCAATCTAAAAATCAGATATTAGAAGATATGACTAATATTTTTGTTCAAGAAACTACAAAAACACATACTTAAAAACACACAAAGTGACTTACTAACTGATTAGGGTGAAGGTATGTGAAATCTTTATTGCATATAAAGAGTTTAGAGACAATAAAATAATTTACAGATTATAAATAAAATTTGAAAACTCAAACTTTAAGATTTGAACTTTAGTTAGCAATAATTCAATAAATCATGTGTACTATGCTTACTTAGCTCACAAGAACATAAATCTCAATATCATAGTGAAAGCAATAAATAACTCATTGAAGACTGGACTTCATTGTAAATAGCTATATTTTTGAAATCTCTTAGGTTTATGAAATGCTATCTATCTTAAATCATTGTTCTTAAGAGTAAGATGATCACAAACACTTTCAGGAAGAATTTGGACCCTTGTGTAATTACTAACTAGTCATGCCTTTGGAGAATCAAATTGGGAAACCGGGAGAAGAAATCATTCCAACTCGTCCTCAGTAGAGCTGGAGGTCAGGGAAAAGGTGGTAGTGGAGAATGCAGTCGTAATAGAGGCAACTCTGAACCAATATCTGAATTATGTTCTTGTAACTTTCCTGCTAGGGATTTTTAAAAATGTATATTCTATTGATTTCAGAGAGGAAGAGAGAAGGTGAAAAAGATAGAAACATTAATGAGAGAGAATCATTGACTGGCCGCTTCCTGCACACCCCACACTGGGTATGGAGCCTGCCGAACCAGGAATCGAACATACCTCCTGGTTCTTAGGTTGACACTCAACCACTGATCCAGGCTTTGAAAGCTGCCACCAGTTATCCCAGACTCAAGCATCACAGTTAGAAATAATTTATGTTTAGTAGCAAAGGTTCAATGAATGGCAGAAGTCATTTATTTGGATGTTCTAGCAATGTAAAAGCCCCAAATGATGTTATAAGGTGGGGGCCTGATTGGGCTGTTAGTACTCTGGCTTAAAGATTTCTATGATGTTTGTTCTCTTCAATAAGTAATTGATGTAAATATTTTACTGGGGTGATAAAACAGGCCATTTATGAATTCTCATGAATTCTACTTTATGGAACCATTAGATAGTACTGACTAATTGAATTAAAACACAAACTCCCAAACCTTCTACAACTCTCTATCAGTCTCATAATTTACAGTGTTCTACAATGTTTTAAAAAGATATACTTATGCTAAAAATAATTACAGTGAGAAATTAAATGATTGCTCTCATATGCAATATAGTTTCATTCTAAGTTGATTCAGAAAATATGTTGATTTTTCAGATAAAAAATTATAGAATACAGGTTTAGATATAAGTTTTAGAATACAGTTTGAAGTACTTACCCAGCTATTTTAATTTGGTTTATTGTTAACACACACACAAAAAAAACCCTGTTATTCTATAAAAGAGCACATTTGATATTTGCTTAAGCTTCTCCATTCATGGGTGCTATTTTAGAATTTTGCAGGTGAAGAGGAGTATATTAAATTAGAAGCAATCCTAATACTTTTTTCATACATTTTCATAAATTTTGATACAAAGAAAAAGTAATCTTGATAATTTTTGCACAAGTATTATTAACACACAGAAAAACACATAGTTATAAAAAGTAAAATTGGAACTAGGGTTTTTTTGTTTTGTTTTGTTTTTTTTGAGCTTCAGCCTCCTAAGTTGAGTATTTTTAAATCCAAAAGCCTCTGGATTTTGTAGTATTTAACTTTGGTAAATTATTAGTTTATCTTATTAAGTTTTGCTTATTATATTAGTCTTTACTACAGTCTTTCTTCCTTTTTAAAGCATGAATATGTGCAATAGTGTCTCTTCTTTAAAATACTATTTTATTTTTATCAGTTACAAAGTGATCTGAGTATGTTGGAAACATACTATGGATTGGACAAGTTTATGATTTTCATATATTCAGAATATCCTCCTTGACAGTTGGCCTGCAGTTTTAAACACAAATTCATGACTCACCGCAAATATTACTTCCCATTTTGACGTGGGCATAGCCATCCACTCCCCAGGAACTTCCCCATGAGTTCCGTACAATCCAATATGGAGTAGTCCCTACAAAACAAAAATTGGCAACAAACCCCGAAAAACTCATATTTGTGTGAATGCATGTTTACTTTAAGTTTATTTCTTGATCAGTGTAGCTAGCTTTGACAAAACGATTAAAACTGTAACAGAATGCTAACTTAAGCTGGCTAAGTACACTTAAGCTGTACTTAGTGTCACACTCCAATTATTGGAAAAATATGTTTGAATTCATTTCACTTAATACACAACTTGCAAAGAATGAAAACACATACGTACACATTTCCAGCGCATTGGAAACAGGAAAAAATAATTATTAGATATGTATGATAAAATAATATTTTCCCAACAATTATCCTAAATACTTCAGATGGAGAATGCACATTATTTAAATCCGTAATTATCATCATTCTAACAAGTTATCCACCAAAATTGATAAGGAAGAACACAATGGGGTTATTTTTACCCAGAAGTCTACTAAAAAGTAGTAAAGGCCTTAGGAGGACTTAGATATACAACTACATTTTAACTTTTTATATGGTTAATGTGGTTTGTCAATCACCTTAAGCTGAAAAGCAATCGATCAAGTCTTATCAGCACTTACCTGTTTTATCAAACCCAGTTATGATAATAGCATGATTTGCTTCTCCACTAGAGCAATGATGCTGTATTATCCCTCCCAGATAATCTTGCCAGCTCACTGCATCTACTATGCCCACCAAAGGACCAAAGGTAAGAAGTGCTTTTGCCATTTCATCTTCTTGGTTACTACCAAAAGAGAACATACTTGGTTAAGGAGTTTAGTTCTTAAGGTAAGAGTATTTTATTAAAACGATCACTTTAATCTTTGTATGGATACACATAGGCTTGATTGCAATTACAGAAGACTTAAACAATGGAGGCGACAAGAAGCCTGGGAGATTGGTAGTCCAAGACTGCAATAGATATCAAGAACCCTGGCTTCTCTTATGCTATTATTCTGCCATGTGAGGTGTCCATTCCCAAGTTCAATTAATGGTTCAAGATGGTTTTAGGTACTCCAGCCATTTAACATATATTCCAGACAGCAGGAAGTAGAAAGGAGAGGTGATACATTCCTGTTGAGAAGATTTCCCAGAAGTAACACACACATTCTGCATATATCTGAATGGATCTTATTGATTAGAATTTAGTCATATGGCTAAGTCTAGCTTCAAGGAAGATGATTGAGTTTTGCAATTGGCTGGCATAGTGTCATCATACAGGCACTTTTTCACTAAGGAAGGTGGGAAAACTATCCTCATCATGGCAGATGCTGGGGAAGAACTTCCCACATCTTCTGGTCCTTACACTGGGCTTCCAACAAGAAAACCCTGCAACTCTTTACCCGAAGCCCTTCTCTCTCAAAAAGCCCACTACCACTTATACCCCAGATATACCCTCAACTAGTAAATCTTAGGAGGTGATGAACGTCAACTTGCATTGGCTAACTCTGAGACTCATTTTACCTTGGCCCCAAGAGTTCCTCAGTAGGAATAAGTTCCAGCATATCCTCAATACTAATTTTCTTAATAAAGAAACCCCATATTCCCCTGTTCTATCGCATTTCCCTACACTTCTACCAATGGTTCCCAGGGTCACTTTCTACATGTCCCAATTAAACTTTCCGTATTCCATCTTAAATCTGTTCCTTAGACTTTCATGCCTCAATTCCATCTTTCAGTCCTTCAGGCCAAAAGTTGGTAATCATCCTTGACTCTCATACTTATCTCCCATATAAAATTCCTCAATATATGCTGTGGGCTTTATTTTCTGTGAACGGTATTACCCTATCATCTCTCAGGTCCAAGGCTGTTTTTCTAATACTTTTCTCTAAGTTTATTAATGACTAATCTTTCTTACCTCATCTCCAACTAGTCTACTCCATTTTCTCTTCACTATAGTCACATTAGCTTCCTCGCTGTTCTTTAAAAATGCTAGAAATATTTTGTCTCAGGGCCTTTGCACTTACAGTACCTTCTGCTTGGAATAGTATTTCCTCGGATATCTACCTGGCTAAGTCCCCACAATTCTTCAGGTCTTGACTCAAATGGCATATCCTCCTTAGTCACCCTTTATACAACTGTGTGCTCCTCTCTCCTCACCTTGATGTTTCCTCTTCCTCCCAACTATTCTATTTTGTCCTCTTAGAAGTAATTACATCTAACATACCATACATATTTTTATTTGTTTTGTTTGTTGCCTGTCTCTACCACTAAAATATAGTCCCAAGGAAGGGTTTCTGTCTGTTTTGTTCACTGCCAGACCCCATAACCTACAACAGTGTTCGGTAGCAATTTGAATGAGTGAATGAATAAATCAACGAAAGCTCTTGCACATCTATCACAGTTAGCTTGGCATTGTGTTATTAGAGAGTTTAGTGTTCATTGTAAACACAGAGATTCTTTGGGGGATCTTTTTCTTTTTAATCAAAAGGGTGGATGAATCCTGTTTCAGGCCCAATTCCAGTCACCTTTGCATTCTTTTTCTCTCACTCTCCAACTCAGACTATTGCCTCCTATTCTTTTGTTTCTTCCTAACTTTCTCCATTAGCTACCCATGTCAAGGAATTCCCTGAATCTTTTTCTGGTGACATTTTGAACATCTGATTCCTTCTTGCACACACACACTTCACTTATACTCTCAGGAACTGAGAGCTCACAGAGGCACACTTTCTCATTTCAGAAATTGCATTACCTTTGCCCACAAAGGAGATGCTGCCCACTGTACTCAGTGACCCTGCACCTTTTGTTAGAGATCCAGCCCAGCCTGCCATCTATGGAATTGAAACTTTCTGGTATATGGTTCCTAGAGTCCCCGAGAGCCCCTGTTGTGGACAAGAGCTCTGTTGACAACCTGCCAAGCCTCTGACCCACTTATGTTATTTAGAGGGGCTTCATCTGGCTCAAGGGTCCAATTTCAACCTTGATTCCCTTCATATCCCACAGGCAGACTCTATCTGGATGGAGAGATTCTTTTATATTCAGTACTAGTAACTTAGAGGTCAGTCTATCATCTCATCTGAATTTAATTTAATGGCTCTGTGTTCTGTTTCAAAAGACTGTGCGAAGCCCAGCCAGTTTGGCTTAGTGGTTGAGAGTCAACCTATGGACCAAGAGGTCAGTGTTTATTCCCGGTCAGGGCATGTGCCCAACTGTGGGCTCAATACCAAGTGCGGGGCATGCAGGACACACTGATCAATTATTCTCTCACATCATTGATGTTTCTATCTCTTTCTCCCTCTCCCTTCCTCTCTAAAAAAAATATATATATATATATATATATTTTTTTTTTTAATATATTTTTTTAGCTTCCTCAATATTTTAAACAATAAACAAATAAAGCTGGGTTTTAGTTGAGTCTTTGTCCTTATCATCTCTGATCACCTACCTATCTTACATTATATTTAATGGTCACAATGGTTCTCTCACTGGCTTTGAGAGCATTTTTTAATGATTGTTTCCCTTGAACCTGCCCAAAGTCATCGTGCCCTTCAAGTTTTGACACAAATTCTCTTCCTTAGCCTATCCTTATCTATCCTCCAACCTCTCTGTGCTTATATAGGGCATGCTACCCAATCAACCTCCAGTGATACAGCCCTAATTGTTTTTAATGCAAAGTTTCAGTTAATGCTTTTAGTATAGTTGATGCCTTGAAAATGCAAGGAACATAGAGGGTATTCCAAAGTGCTTCTTGATAAACAGACTGCTTGAAATTAGGTGGAGCATCTATACAAGGCAATTTCCATTGATTCAACAGGAAGATTGAAATATACTAATGGTAAGTATGACACCTAAATTTGGTAAGAGGAAGGTGACAAATATAAATTATACATGTCACTGGGTTTGAATGTGCTAATTTAACCTTATCTCTATTGTAATGACACCTTGAAACATAAGTAGATCATATTTAAGGCACAACATCCATAGCACTCCATGGTGATCCATAGTCTCTCTAGTAAAAGGTAGGTATGAAAAAAAATTATGAATATGCAGTGAAGCTTTCAATCAAGTTATCAACTTCAAATAGTCAATATATCATAAATTAGGACATAGGAAGGAAAACACAGTAGAATAAGACATTTACCTGAAGTCATGTGCAGAATAACCTTTGATTGAAAATCCAGCATGTGAATCAGAAAAGTAATGGCACAGGCCATTCTGTTCTTTAAAGGGGTATTCTGAATCTCTCACCAGTTTTACTTGTGTCTAAAAGAAAACAATCACCCAAAGTGTTCTCCATCAAGCAGTTGTTTTAAATAGAGTTTGATGTAATGTGTCATAAAAAGATTCAGTTTGGCCACACCTTCATCATGTGGGTATTCTACGGGTAACAATAAGCTCTTAAATTCAATCTTTAGGTCTTTGTTATGGATAGCCTGGGTCAGTGGTTGGCAAGCTGTAGCTCGTGAGCCACTTTGTGGCTTTTTGGCCCCTTGAGTGTGACTTCCACAAAATACCACGGCCTGGGCAAATCTATTTTTAAGAAGTGGCATTACAAGAAGTTTAAGTTTAAAAAATTTGGCTCTCAAAAGAAATTTCAATAATTGTGCGATTGGTATTTGGCTCTGTTGACTAATGAGTTTGCTGACCACTGGCCTCGGTAATTAGAGTCATTAGCTTTCGTTCTCTTTACTCTTATTATTCCCAGATCTTCCTTCCCTGGACCTCTATCAATCCAAAAATATAAAGCCGTGTCATCTTTCTCATGAGGTTATAATAGGTCAACTGGTTCTATGTCGGTAAGTCTTGAGAGTCACTCAGCACAATGGTTTAGGCACAGGCAATGGTTAGATCAAACATTTTTTCCTATCTACTTCTCTCTGCCTTTTATCTGGCATATGTCACATAGTTTATAGTTGTTTATACATAGTCTCCTTTTCTGAATTTTGGGCTTATGAAGAGGAGAACACAGGCAATTCATTGTCACTCATAACATAGAGAAGTTTTTGGCATTCAGTGACTCAAATCTAGCAAACGAATAAAGGAAGGATGTTTGAGTTTGAGAAACTCTAGCTTGACGGCTTGACAGCCTTTTAGAAAGTATAAAAGCACCTCCACTAGCTAGTTTCATACAATTGATGCTGGATCTAGGACAAGGTCAGAGAATATCCTAAGAATGTTGAGGGATACTGACACTGAGGTATATTGGGTAAGGATGCCCAATGGGAAGCAGAGGACTACAGGTGCAATTCTGGCTCAGCTACTGATTTGGCAATATAATCTCACATCTTCATCTCTATACAGAGTTACAAGATTAGCTGTCTTTTTGTTCCTTTTAACCTTAACATTCATAAATTCTATAGAAATGGGTAACCATATGCTCATATGCTCTCCTTTCTGGGTCACTATGTGACATATATCTGCAAAAAAACCTACAAAACCCACAACCCTCCTCCCCCCTACACACACTCACATTTATCTATTAAGAAATGTTCAGAAAAAAACAAATAATTTTTGGAAAACAGATCTCAGGTAAGATTTTCTAACCTTTGATCTTGATAGTTGACTTGCCTAGAGGCAATTCATTTTTAAATCTGATTAATTCAAGCTTTGGTCATCTAAATTTCTAAAAACATTATTTAGTAAAGGAGAATAAAATGTCTGAATTTGGAACACACATTAACTAAGCAAAAGAGAAAACAAAGCATTTAAAAGGCTGAGAAACTAGTTACCTCATTTAGCCAGTTCAAAGCATTAAAAGTAGAGCCTCCATTGCAGCCGTAATTAGTATATGAGCAATCAATGACCTGCTGCACACTTAGGTCTTCCAAAGGCTTCCCTTTTATTGCATATGCTGATTCCACTGCACCTACCACACTGAAAGCCCAGCATCCTCCACACTGTTTAAAATAGAAACAAATACGATTTATTGTCAATGTCCAAACCAAGTGTACCAACATTTTTCAATATCACAAGTTATCAAATCAAGTGGACAGAATCTAGAGGCCTACAAAAACATAAATGCTCATCCTTTTAATTTCCAAATTGGAAAAAAGAAAAGAAAACCAAAGTTCTCTTTTAAGTATCAAAATCCAGTGATTAGTTACAAGTAAATTGGTAGTATCATTATTATAAATGAGACAATGCAAGATGAAACCACATCTTGGAGAATCTGAAAACAAACATATTTTATTTATCTTTTTAAATATATTTTATAGATTTTTTTACAGAGAGGAAGTGAGGGAAAGAGGGACAGAGAGCTAGAAACATCGATGAGAGAGAACATCGACTAGCTACCCTCCTGCACACCCCAAACGGGGGATGTACCTGCAACCAATGTACATGCCCTTGACCAGAATCGAACCTGGGACCTTTCAGTCCGCAGACAGACACTCTATCCACTGAACCAAACCGGTTTCAGCAAAACAAACATATTTTAAAGATAAGTCAGTTCATTAAATAGATGATGTCTGTTTCTAAGAAATATACCAATTCCTATCCCATTCTCTAACCTCTTTTGTTTCTTCCCAGATAGTATGTTTTTGTGTTATCCACCATCTCCACCCCAAGGGAGGTGATAAGTTGAAGAAGTATGTCTTATCTGTTATACTCATTATTTGATGGACACAGGAGCTGAATGAGTTACATTTCAGGCTATCAGGATGGCAGCATGTGTCAATTATAAATGCACATGAAATGTTCTGATAGAAACCCATGTTAGCCATTCCTTATTCAAATGTCGGCTGGCAATCTTTCCGTTTCTGGATCTATTTACTTGCAACAAAAGAATAAAAGGGCTGGTCCTGAAAGAAAGGAGGGAGAAAGAGCAAATGGTATCAAGGATCATACATAAGATAGATAGATCCATGAGAGCAAGATTTGGAATTGGGTGGAAATATCCTAATCATAGGACCATGTGCTGTAGAGTTAGGCAAAGAAAGAACAACTAGCTGTCTTCGTGAAGTTTTGAGAAACGTCATGACTTTAAGTGGCCATATTTATGTCCATATCTCTAGCGCCTATGGCATAGTAAAATATTCACTGAGGACTAGACCTCAGAATCCTTACCATTGAGAAATGTGAAAACAGGTTGCTGACGCCATACCTACAGCTAGCTTTAGTTAATCTACCCTTGGCTTCCCCTGCAGGCAGTGCCTACTCAAAGATATCTCTCTAGCACTCTTTTAATTAAAGAATCCTAATGAAAAGTTCCCCTTTTATACAATGCAGACACTACTGGGAGGATTAGATGTCAGACTATTTTGCACTTGATTATGAATCCAGTAACAAAGCAAATGATTTGTTGGTAAAATCTAATTGTCAACAATAAACATAGAATCTGAGAAATAAAAAGCATCATCCTAAATCAACCGTGTCAAACTCGTGGCCTGTGGGTTGCGTGTGGTCCACAATGACTATTTTTGCATCCCAGCCAATAGAACAGTATGTAAAGAAACGTTTTAATAAAAATTTCATAACTCAATTTTTACAATATCATGTTATACATAGTTATTAATAACTAACTGTGACATTCATTATTGACTAATTACTATATAGTGTTGCATTCATTTCCCTTATATGCCTTACACACAGGTGCACCATTTCTCTCCAGTAATACTAGCAGCGAATATTTTATCAGTTGCCACATCATTAGTCTTGGTCTGACTTGTTTGGTGTGCACAATAGGAAATATTTCACTTTTGGAGAACAAGAAAAATAAGTTTATTTGCATTACTCTTATTAATTTGTGCAGTTAGTCAGTATCTGGTAAGTTAATGTTCAAGAAAAACTATTAATTTTTATTAAAATGTTCTATTATTTTATGTTAATAATTCCTCATTTATTTCAGCATTTGTATTGAACATGTCTCTATTGAAATAAATGCACGTTTCTATAAAAATTGAAGCTTTGTGTTTTTTTTGCAGACCACATAAACTTAAACCTTGTTTATTTGGCCCCATGTTAACCTTTGAATTTGACATGCTTGCCCTAAATAAATGGTGGAGACTGCTAGGTCCAGAATACTGGCCATACTGTCAGATGGGTACTAGATTTAGCGAGGTGATCGCTTCATAAGTTATATAAATGTCTAATCACTATGTTGTACACCTGAAAGTCAATTGTAATTGGAAAAAATAACCAGGGGAGGTTAAATGACCTGTTGAGGTTTCCACTGCAGATAAACTGAGGCTATAGCCACGTGGTTAGGTAACTGACTTTCCTGTCAGCTGACATTCCCTGTGCTGCAAATTTACTATCTTCTATTTTTTTTTTAAGTGTGTGTGTCACTTATTATGACACATTTTTTAATGCTGTATTCTAACCTAATTTCTCTCATAACACCTTTTGTTTTTACTGCAGGGGTTTGCACTGATGGTGCTTTATAGGAAATGTCAGTCTATGTCACATTACAGCAAAATAGATGGCATTTCTAAGTGTCACAGATAGAAAACCTACGATACTTTAGGGGACAGGGTTTTTCACTGGAGCTCAAGGGATGAGGCCTGAGAACTTAAGAGACCAGGCCACACTGTTGGTTAGTGTATCTAGTATCCCGCTACTTTTTCAGTGTCATTTCTCATTGAGTAGTCAAGTTTACCCTCTCCAGCCCTCCACAGAAGGTTGGGTAACTGTGACACAGCTAAGGGGAAGAACCCTGAGCCAGGGTGCTGATGACAATGGTCATTAGGGAGATAATACACCAAGGAAGGCTTATCTCAGAAAAAAAGGCGGATTTTGACATCTGCCTCCCTCGCCAACAGAGTCATTTTACTGCCATTTTTTGAATGGGTGGGGTATGATTTTATCTAGAGGAATGATGGATTCCATTGCAAGTCTAAGTGAACTTGACCTCAAAGGTGACTCCCTATGCTCAGATGATTAAAAAAGAACGAAAGCTTAGAACTTACCGCATGCTGGTTTCTCACTTGTGTTACAACATGTTTATCTCTCCAGTCAAATCTTGATGGCAAAGACATGTTGGAGATGAGCATTGACACTTCCGGGGAGTAGCGGGGAAATCTGGAAGTTTTGGTTCTTAAGTAAATAGCTGAGTAGAAATATGAAAGGAAAAGACAACAATATTATATTAGAGAAAGGGCCCCTTGGGGTTCTTTTTTGGGGGAACGTTTCAAAAGAAACAGTAGTTTTGTAGGAGAGCCTGCCACTTATGATTTTTCTATATGCTTTTCCATAACACGAAACGCAGTCTACTGAAAGCTATAGAAGATAAGAATTCCTACAATAGGGCTGAAGATGCCCCAGGAAATTACTTGTTTGAAAGAACCAAGTCAATAATGGAACTGAGTGTAATTGGTATCATTTGTTTTATCATGACCCGTGGAATCATGGGTAACTTGAATAGAAATAGCAATAAAAACAGCAGAAGGAATAAGGTGCTCGTTGTCCTTACAGCAACATGGAACTGCCTATGTGTATAATATTTAGTTCTTAAGTAATAATTAAAAGAGTGAATTTGAATTTATTATTTTGTCAGCACCTGGTCCATGCTTGAGACCTAGTAAGTGTTTAATAAATTATTAACTATTACTCAATGTTCTAGATTCAAATTAAACAATTCCTCAAAATAAGCCAGTCAATGAAAGAAAAATACCACATGATCTCACTCATAATAAAGAACATTATAAACTGATGAACAAAAAGATAGATACAGAGACAGTAAAGCATCAAAAAATGAAAAAAACAAGTAAATAAATAAATAAATGATGTGACATATCATGTAAAAAATAAATAAACAATTCCTCAAAAATTAAGGAAACAAGTTAAAATCAGGAAACCAATCAACTAATGGCATCACTACATCATACCTTTAAACTCTTCAGGAAACAAATATGAAAACTGATTTATTCCATAGATGGCAGTGGAATTTTCTCTAGGAAATAAAGAATTCAAGTATCGATGTCTATTAAGACTTTCCTAAAAGGAAAAAGAAAAAAAAAAAGGTAATTTATATTACCTATGTTAACTTTCCAAAGCAATTTGTGTATAATAACTTGGAGATATTTTCAGGTGTAAAAGTCAAACTCTGACTTATTTGTGGCAGATCACAATGAAAGGTTGTATAAGATAATGAGACCATATGAATAAATGCTTTGTGTTAGAACTGCTATCTGACTTCAGGGACATTTTTGAGACTGGGAAAGATATATCTTACCCATTTGTAATTTGTTCCCAGTAAGCATGGAGAGCACTAAACATATGTTTGTTTAACATAGCGGAAACAAGAAAATAAATTGCAAATAAGCACTATGTACTAGTGGAAACAGTCACCAAGAGACACTCATGCAATGAAGCAATTATGTATTTGGAAAGTGTGTCCTCTTTATCTTTATATTTCTGAGCACTAAGGAATGAAACATGGGAAAGGGAATGAGGAAATAACAAATAAACCCGGTTCCATTTGAGCTTTATAGAATCCCTCTCATTTAGGGCACAGAGCTTTGTGAGATGGAATCCTGGAATGATCTAGGAAGGTAGACCATTGTTTGCCTATCTGGAGGGAAAATATGACCGTTATTTATAGATTTCTCAGTGTTTGTGATAATCATGTATTTTACATGAACATTCCTCAATTTCCTCATATACCCATTATGCAGCATAAATGAAATATTAAAGGGACCACCCATTTTGTACATTTCAAACCCTATTTCTTCTATATTTTTTATGCTCTTATCTGTTTATTGTGTGTCTATTTCTTAAACCCATAAGCAAAATGAGAATAAGGCCTATCTGGCATTTATCACCGTATTCCCCACATGCCTGGCACACAATATATGCTTAATTAGTACCTGTTGCTGAATAAGTATATAAATGACCGTTTATGTATACCATGTCCTTAATAGCTTTAAGGTGTTTATTTTTAAGCAAATTATCTCTGGAAATATTCATAATCTTATTTCTTCTTTACTGAACATGCATGGAAGAATTGCCAGTCAATAATAATAAACAGTCATTGAGCCGGAACTGGTTTGGCTCAGTGGATAGAGCATCGGCCTGCAGACTGGAAGGTCCCAGGTTCGATTCCAGTCAAGGGCATGTACTTTGGTTGCGGGCACATCCCGGGTGGGGACTGTGCAGGAGGCAGCTGGTCGATGTTTCTCTCTCATCAATGTTTCTAGCTCTCTATCCCTATCCCTTCCTCTCTGTAAAAAAATCAATAAAATATATTTTAAAAAAATAAAAAATAAACAGTCATTGAGATTCAGGCATTTAAAAAGAATCCTGATGAATCAGAGCTGTGACTATAATTTGGAGGAGAGGTGTAAATACAAAGGACCGAACTGGAATGCAAAGCAATTCGATATACATTAAGTAACCAATATAAGCCATAGATGGCTACTGCTAAGTAATTCAGAGGCTTCATTTTTCTCTGCAAGTCTTGATTGGCCATCCTTCTGAGCTGAAGTAACTGGGAAAGGCATTGAGAATGTGGGACTTTAAGAACACAGAGAGCAGAAGGCAGCCAGGAGAATGGGCCTCTCAGACCTCCATCCACAGGGAGTTTAACTTCTGAGGCTGAATTACCAGGAGACTCAGGAAAAACAGGCTGCCCTAGTCAATGACGGAGCAGTAAAACTGGCCTATTTGGGGAAACATGGCACTCCACCGAAAGCTGGCTTTTGAATGATGAGTTCCTCACGACCTCTCCTATCCTAGACAGCAGTCTAAGGCACTTTCCAATCTTCCTCTCATCACAAAACGTGAGTTTATATTGAGCTCCAACTCATCATCCTATTAACAACCTGTCATAAAATCAGCATAGGAAAGAATCAATTAGCATATGTTTTTAACATAAGGAATGGAGGATGTAACAGGGATCAGCTCTTTAGTAAATATCTCTGAATATTTAAATGTATAAAATATTAAAATGAAGGACTTGAACCTTAATTTCATTTATGAAAGAACAGATGTAAAGGTGTTGCCACTGCTAAGATCAGCAGAACTTGTTTGAACAGTACTGTCTTGCAAGACATCCTCAGAGGCTGGTTCTGAGAGCTCAGTGCTTATGTGCTTTCAGTTTAGCTCCCCTGGGCTGCCAGATGAGGGGAGGTTGGGGAGCCGGGTGTAAAGGGCAAAGGGATGAAGAAGTACAAACTTGCAGCTACAAAACAATCTTGAGGATGTAAAGTACAGTATAGTCCATAATAGTCTAATAACAATATGGCTTCAGGTGGGTGCAGGAATTAGCCTGAGTTATATAAATGTCTAACCGCTATGCTGTAGACCTGAAACTAATACAACATTGAATTTCAACTGTAATCAAACAGAAAATATTTAGATAAAAATAAAAAAAAGACATCAAGTTTTGCAGAATACACAGGAAACACATTAGCAGTTTTGAAAGGTGCAAAAGTTTGAAAAACAAATGGATCACATACTAGGAATCTGGGAACTGGTCAATCAAAACAGCCTTTAAACAGACATTATGAAAAATAAATATCTTTACATGTCCCCCCCCCCTTTGTTTTGACTTAAATGTGTTTAATTTAAGACATACCAGGTCCCAGGGCCGAAGAACTTGAGGAAATTATCTTACGATTATAAAGCCAGGAAAAAACATGTCGTTTTGACTTCAATCAACATTTTGTCTTAAAACTCTCTAATCAACCTTATTTATATTGGGCTACCTGTCTGTTCCAGAGTTTTAATACTGGGGTAAAACCTAACCCTATTGATGAAGCCTTTTCAAAACAATCTGAAGAAGAAATCAGTGCTTTCCCTTTCTCTAAACCCATCTCCACCAAGTCAGGCGAACTTTTTTTTTTTTTTTTAATATATATTTTATTGATTTTTTTTTTTTTTTTTTTTTTTTTTTTTTTTTTACAGAGAGGAAGAGAGAGGGATAGAGAGTTAGAAACATCGATGAGAGAGAATCATCAATCAGCTGCCTTCTGCACCACCCCCCCCCCCCCCCCCCACTGGGGATGCATCAGCAACCAACGTACATGCCCTTGACCAGAATCAAACCTGGGACCCTTCAGTCCGCAGGCTCTACCTATCCACTGAGCCAAACCGGTTTCAGCTCAGGCGAACTTTTAATAAGCGGGTGCACGAGCCTCCGGAGCCCCAGTTCAGGCAGATCAGACATGGGCAAGGCTCTCCCAGCTTGCGCAATGCAGGCACCTGAGACACTTGTGATGGCAGAAGGAGGTGACTGCCCAGCGCCCCCTCCGGAAGGAGCAGGGCAGGTTTCTAACGCCTCTGGTTCCTGTAACTGAAAAGCGGCAGCAGGGGAGGCAGCGAGGACCGCCCAGGGGTCCCGCCATCAGGGGAGCTTCTAAGCAAGAAGACCTTGGACCTATCCATGGATCACTGGGGACGGATCATGGAAATCCGCAGCAGCAGAACGTCTTGGGAAAATCAAATCTTGGGGTTAGCAAAGGCCTGGGAGAGGGCGAGCTCCAGGCACGTGGGGGTTCGCAGGGAGAAGTTGGGGGGGGTGACCCCAGCGCGTCCCAGAAGGGCAGACAGGCGAGGGGATCCCCTGACTCTCCGCGCTCCCAGGACCCTCGGCCCCGCCCAGCCCCAGGACAGGAAAGGACGGGAAAGCAGCACAGACAGGGGGGCGCTTGGTACCCGGAAGGCGGCTGCCCGTTGCTCGCTGCTCCGAGGGCCCGTCCGGGGGGAGGTGGCACCGGGACCGGCTCCGAGGCCTCTGCCGCAGCACCAGAACCAGCACCAGAACCAGCAGCAGAGCAGCCGGAGCACCCGCAGCTCCATGCCCGCCCCAGGCCCCAGGCGCCACCCGCCCGCCCCAGGCTTTCCTTTCGCTTCCTCGGCTCCTCCCCCAGGGTTTGGGGGGGGGACACGGCACCGCGGGGTGTGTGTTGGAGCTGAAGGAAGGCGCTCGCCCAGTTCCCCATGCTCTGTACTGGGAGTCCGCTCAGATGCCAACTGTTGAGCTTCTCTCTGCTTTTGGGAGGAAGAAGCATAAGGCCACGTGCTTTCTGGCTTCGCCTCCATCTGTTAGAAAAAAGCCCGGGAGTCCTTCTTCGTGCAGGACATGGACATGCACACTGGGGTGGCCTGCACGTCCAGAATTAGGTCCTGGACTTGTCTTCCTTTCATCTCAAAAGGAAAGATTCAGGCAGTCATTGACCTTAACCTGACCTTCATCCTGCTGGGTCTGCAGTGGTCCCTCCTGTCCTGCTCAGAAACTAACTCTGAAATGCTTCGCGAATTTACAAGGAGATACTTACTGAGCAGATGTTTGTTTTCTGTCAGTTGCAAAAAAAAATGTACGGTTGTGGAAATAGTGCCCAATTTCTTGATTTATTATATGACAGCCATTTCGAAACTTTCAAAGTCTGTTTCTCCAGATGCACAGGAAGCTATAGTACCTCTTTCTTAAATTTGTGGTGGAATTTAAATAAAGCGACCCGCATAGAACACTCTGCATGATGCCTGGCACATTTTCAGTGCTCAGGGTTAGCTGTTTGTTTTATTCTTAAGGCATCCCACCCCCATTTTATTGTTGTTACACTGCTTTCCACCTGCTCGGCTTAGTTCTGAATACCCTATTTTCATGCTTTCTTCTTATTTTTATTATTTAAAAAAAAAACATTTTCACTTCACATAAACCCAATCCTAGAGAATGGGCCACAGAAAGGAAAAAAGTAATGTTCAAATGAGTTAACATCCAATCTGGTGAAGCATCCATTTTATATAAAAACTGCTGTTTGAAATTTCAACCCTGCTATTTGGCTTCTGTAAATGCATGCTTGCTTAAATAATAAGGAAAATAAGGCTTCTCCCGCTTCACAGGGGCCATTAAACCATCCCTGGACGAAATTATCAGTGCTGGCACCAGGCCAGGCCTTGGTTGAGGTCCCAAGGCCCCAGCACATGGGGCTCTTTAAGAACTTGCAAAGGGAGCCGGAAATGCCCCATATTTGGGAGACAAAGAAGGTAAAAACATATAAATAGGGAAAGTTGCTCCACGTTGGGGCCCAGAATTTGTGACATTTTCCTCTAGACCCGAGTGTAATAAATGTAACTCCATCTCTCTAAGTATTGCTTGGTTCTTCTCCGGGGTTTTCTGTAACACTAGCAGCAGCTCAGGTTGAGGATGCTCTAATGGGAGGGGAGAAAACCCCTTTTGAAGAGACTAGGTGACTTCAAATGCCCATTGTCACAGGCCCCCAAATGGCTCTTGAAACAGTAGCTCTGTTTCTCAAATTTAAAGTGCATAAGACACAATCACACAATAATATGGAGTGTTAACTGCAATTGAAATAGAATAATTTTAAAAAGAAACAATGCAAAAAATAGAGTGCAGAGGAAATGCAAATTCTGCACAGGAAGTGGTTCTGGAGTGAATCCTGATTCTGCTTTTCTAATAAGCTCCCAGGGGCTGTGGCTGCTGCTGGTAGGACAGGCCACCACTGAGCTGCAAGAAGTGCACCACTTGCTCCTGCTCCTATTTCTCCAGTTTTCCTCCTACAAGGGGAACTGGGAAGAGGGCTGGGGTATCTGCCTCAAAGGAATTCTATATTCCTTTCTGGTCATTGCATCTCTGCTTATTTCCTTGAAGAATAGGTAGCCAGTTTAATATTATTGGACCTCAGGACCAGCTGCATAATTAGCATACTCGTAAAATGAAAATGAGGCTCCTTCTTCCTATATCATTAAGAATTCCAAGACAGGAACAGAGAATGTTAAACTAAGTGCTGTGTCTTTCTAAGCACAGGGTTCTGTGTGACTGCTCAGGCCATAGATCCACGAAAACAGCTGTACTGGGCCTTTTTATAATAACCCTTTCTATACAAGGCTTCCAGAAGTCTTTAGAATTGATGTCATGACCCTCTTAAACTTTTTAGAACCATCATCTGATTTATCTCGGTAGTGTTTACCTAGGTACCACGAGTCCAGCTATTATCTGATGGAAAATTGGTAATAAAATAAAGTACAATTGTTCTGGGCATTGAAAGTAAAGACTAGAAAGCTTCTGTACATGCCTGTTTGAGGAGATACATGTTCTTGGAATATATGGTGATAAAGATTTCTTTAGACAGCAAGTTCACAGATCTGTTCATGTCAACTCGGTAGTCTTCTGCACCTAGCTATTACTTGGTGCTAATACCGTAAAAAATAAATAAATAAAAATAAAAACCAAAGGTTTGCATTCAGATCATAGCTATTGTTTATTGACAACCTACTGAGTCAGAAAATTTAGTAAAAGGCAGTCATCCTTACACAAGCATAAGTGGAACTGTAAAAAAGCCCATGGAACTAAATTTACTTCCTAAGCTCACAACAACAAATACTTATTGACCACCTATTAATTGTCAGGAATTGTTCTACATAATGAAGATCCATTAGTGCGTGAATGATTAAAGAGACAAAATTTCCACCCTCATGGAACTGACATTCAGGAACTGAAAAGGATGCACAGAAAAATTAGTAGAAGTATTGTCAGGTAATACAATTGCATAAGAAGAATCAGGAGTGTGGAGGGCTGGGGTTGAATTTTAAATCAGGTGTTACGGATAGACCCCACTGAGAAGGAGATAAGTCTTAAGTCTTTGAACAAAGACTTAAAGGAGGTGAGAGTGAAATATTTAGATATTTGGGGAAGAGAAACTAAGATAGAAGGAATAATCAGTGAAACTTGCAAGTATCTGCTAATTTTCAAAACAAACACTGTAAATTATACCTATATAGGAGGTGTAATTTTATTCTGTAAGTTTGCAAAATATCACACTCCTATATTAATCCTATATTAATAATGTATCACTGCACCACAACCCCAAACTCCGTAGCTGCAAGATAATAACATTCAGTATCTCACACAGTTTTGGTGGAGCAGGTTGGAGCAACCTCGCCAGCCTCTGTCACAGGTTGCAGACAAGTTGTCAAAGTGGCTGCAGTCATTGGAAGGTATCTCAGGGTTGGAGGGTTCGATTTCAAGCTTCTGCTAGCAGGAGTCCTTGGTTCTTCTCTGGCTTTTGGGCAAAGGCCTCACTCAGATCCTTCCCACAGGATTCCCCAGAGAGCTGCTGTGGGATGACAACTGTCTTCCCCAGCAGGAGAGACTGGAGAGACTGACTGAAGGGCAATGAGATGAATAAAAAGGAAGCAGGTTGTGTCTCCTACAACCTGATCTTGGAAGTTTCATACCATCCCTTCCACTCTCGGTTGCACAGACCCACCCTGGTAAATATGGGAGGTGGGGATGGCATGGGGTGTGAATACTAGGAAGTGGGGCTTCTTGGGTGCCATCTGAGAAGCCAGCTACCACACACTCATCTTCCACGTGAGCCGCCCAGTAACAAACATGGCCACTTTTTTTTTTTTTTTTTTTTTTTTTTAAGGAAAATAATCCTGCACTTCCATCTATTTTTGCAAATGCTTCTCAACTTCTGTGATCATCAAATCATTATCTGCTTTTGTTTCTATCCTGTCAAGAACCTTCTGATTTTTCTCTAGTTTTGAATCATTTTACTTCATTTTGAATTGCTTTGCTATGGAGTCATGTGGTTTAGTGTGTGTGTGTTTTAACATTGATTAATTAGTAAATACTCATGTATGTATTATGACTTACCAGGCATTCTGCTAAGCACTTTGCAAATATTTCCTTTATTCAATTCTCATAACAAAAGCCTTGCAGTAAATAGGATTATCATTTTCATTGTATAGATGGGGAAACTAAGGCACAAAAAGTTAATGTATTCATTCGAGTTATGCATTCAATAACTTATGGATCTAGTATTTCAACAGGTAGAATCTGACACTAATCTATGTTTCTCTCCAGTACTTCATCAGCATTTTTATGTGATCCATGAAATTTTGTTCTTTAAGATATGCGCTATTAATGTACTATCAATGAGCACTCTAATTGCATAAGATATTGTAAACTTCAAATAATCAGCTGAAGGTCATCAAATATTTGAAACAAACTGAGAACTATGCAAGTGTGAAGGCAGGGAAAATGCTTGAGTGGATACCAATGTTATGAGATCAGTTCTTTCGTGATTGTTTTCATGATCTGAGGAATTATTCATCCCTGCACCATCTCGTGACTGCAGGGTTACAGGTAATAAATACAAGGATGAGAAGGAGCCTCGTCCATTACCTCTAATCCTTACAGCAAACCTGCAAGGTAGGAGTTATTATCCTCACTTTCCAAATGAGGAAACTGACTCTTATAGCGATTAAGGAATTTAATGAAGATCCTAGGCAGGAAGTGGCCATGGGATGTAAACTGAGCTGTCAGACTTCAGAGAGCATGCATGCTTTCTGAGCTGTGTCAGGGTGCCCTCAGTTACTCCAAGACATGTGTTGTGGTTGTTTTTTTATTGTTACTTTTTTTTTTTTTTAATTTCATGTTGGTCTTTCTTATGGATGTAGCATTTGTACTCCACTAAGCACTTTCCTTGTTCTAATATAACTTACAGAAAAGCTTGACATTTGGTAATATCTTTGAGTCATTGTATTACCTCTGCATTAAAAAGGTTTGCTTTTTTTTTTTTTTCTTTTTAATTTCTTTCCCTATGTTATGGGAAGAGATCTTATACCTCCAAACAAGGAATTAGCTACTGCCTGGATTGAAAGATTTGATGATCTTTGGTCCTAGATTGTTCTCTGAACATTTTACTAATGCCCCCCCCCCCCCCCCCCCCCGGCCCTTTTGGTTACTGTTGTGGACTGGGTTCGCAGAGTCATTGCAATCGTCCTTAACCTCTTGCACTGGCAACATTTCATGAGGACCACAAAAATCC